ATAAATTTATTACTGTATAGATTATTTCCATCAAGCTGTGATACGACACTATGATGCTGCAATTAGTAGTATATATGAAGAATTGTGTTTGGTATTCTACAGACGTACAAGTTGGATGGCACAGCAATTCCCACAGCAAGAATATACCATACTGAACAATAGCACATGTTGACCAAACAATCCTGGTTCATTCCTAATAAATGACCACGAAATATCAGCAGTGCACATGAACTGCTATGCGGACCACTGCTCATCTCTAACTAAAACAAATGAAAAATGAACGATTTAAACAATAGAATAATTAAGTATCCAATGTCAGTTGCAGGACTGCGCAAACACCCAGCCCATTCTCACATGTATAAATGACAGCAACACTGTATCAACTCGCAACAAAAGGTACATAGAGATCCCAGCGCAGAGAAGCAGTCGATTGACACCTGGCGCCATGTCCATACCTTGTTCAGGCCGTCTAAGCCGTGTACTCCATGCGCCATTTTTGCGACTTGATAAACCAGGTGTAAATTGACAGTTATTAAAAAAAGAAGGCTATGAAATATAGTGTGTTCGTAAACCTGCGAAGTGATGACGAAATCATGCAGTCAGCCTTTTTTATAATAAAGAGAAATAAAACTGCCCCACACGCGAGTCCGTCTGTCTTTGATGTCCACAACAATAAATATGTGAGGAAGAACAGGTGCACAAATTATAAAAGTTTAAGGTAAACGGAGCTTTGATTTATAAACGTTAACATACGGGTTAATAGACTAATTTTGAAAATTATTCGGGCGCCCGAGGACCGAGGGGGTTAAAGAGGGCTCGGGCTCTAAATATGCACCAACGCGACAACCGTAGGGCCATTATGATATAACGTTGAACGCAAACGTATATTATAAATACGTACTTATTTTGTTTTTTGTTTTTTTTTAAAATTAAATAACAATTTTAATACTACATACATATTTACTGTGAAAATAAAAAGACATATTGAGGTAGTTCGTCACTCACGGTCACTTTGACTGAACCAGCGGGCAGTCTGACTCTGGAGTCTGGACTCTGGAGTGAGTGGTGAATGGACCCAGTGAAGGTGGACTCAGCGAAGTCCACAGTCAAATCAATATATATTACACACATACTTTATTTTACATGCATACAGGTAACGTAAAAAATATGTATTTATGTTTTGAGAGACTGTCTTTTATTACGTTTATTTAAATTTTCATAGCCTTACGCCATGTCGCATCGAAACTGGTTGTTCATGTAAACGACATGTCGCATTCGCAAACGACATGTGTCGCGTTCATAAACGACGTGTCGCAGATGAAAGCGACATGTCGGTTGACAGCTATGGTGTGGCGGCTAGTACTTTAAGTGCTTGGAGACCGTTGAGATGTCAATTTTGTGGTGTGACGGTTGGTACTTTTATCGTTGAAGTAACTGGCAGAAGGGCACGACTGTTTTGTCATTGTATCTTTTGTTAAAGTTGAAGTAACACTGACGTTGTGATACTATGATAGACCGTGCTATACACTTAATAACTATAGAATAATCACACCACATAGCTACACACTTCTAAGTTTATTAAAATTTACTAAAAATACTATAGTCAACAAGGCCAAGTAGCAACTGAAACTAGACATACTAGCCCGCCCAACAAATAAAGGCGGTCGAACACGCACATATGATATGATTAGCTGTCTTTAATATACGGGAATATAATTGAAACGATATTAATTATTAAGATTAGGAACATATGATTGGTCATAAAAAAGGGAAATAAGGCCTGTCGAAATGAACAAATACGACCATTGCGACCAATGCGACAACGACACGTCGCATTAATATCAGTGTCGTTTTCTAAAACGACACGTCGCATTCATTGCGATAAGTGTCGTTTAGGTCCCTCACTGACCGTCTGACCCTCGTCTCTGAGACTCTGACCCCAGTGGGCCCAGTCACAGACTCACAGTGGGCCCCCCCCGCCCCAGGCCCACACAGGCAAATCAAGAGCAAAGTTTTTAGACCAATGGAATGGGTTATATCCATCGTGTACAACTTCTTGTGTGGAATTTTTTCGTTACATATTTGTGAGCGTTTAAGTATTATAAACGTATAAAGTTTGTTTGACATTTTGAAACAGTTGTAAAACATATAGGTGAGAAAGAAAGGGGCAAATGCACTATATAAAGAACAACCATTGCACCTCCGAACCCAAATTTTACACCCTCATTTACTATTTAGGACTCATCCACCGTAGTGACGTAATAAGGTGTTAATGTTTTTTAATCAGATGGGAAAAATCATTTTTGAATCAAAAGTGTCAACCAAAAATTGCCGGCGAACATGTCAAAGAGAGAATATCCAATACAACAAGACGCTAATATCAAACACTCCTTGCGCATTGCCTGCGCTTGTATAGAACAGAGGAACGCAGCGCACATCCCCACACCAAAGCTAAAAACCCTGGTGCTCATATACAGAGGCGAATTGCACTCGTAATTGAAATCTATCATTGATTCAAAGCTTTAGGGACACCTGAATATGATATACTCACAGGTCAACAAATATCAAGATCGTTAGGTTGGATTACATTGCGGAATCATGCTAGTACTCAGGTTTCTGTGCTGTGTGTTATTAGCCGCAGGATCTCACAACATTGTTTCAGCAGGTAAAGTAAACGTGTCTTTTTCTTCGCTGTTCGTGTCTAGCTTGTACCCTGTTGGATGGCGTGAAACTTGTCAGCGAATCCACCGCGAAGCATCCGTTTGTTTGACCTCGAATTGTATTTTACCGCCTCATAATACAATAGCCGAGGCCGTTCACTTGATATATTATGACATATTTATTCCCTAGGTGTCGTGGTAATATACGTACTACGTAGTCTATATATGTGTATATCTATATATATATCTATATTTGTTTGTATATGTATACGTATATATATATGTGTGTGTGTGTGTGTGCATGTATATATATATATATATATGTGTGTGTGTAGGGATGTAATTGTGACCGTTATTTGTTCATGTGTTTATTTCATGTGTGGAAAATTATAATATTTTTAAGAATAGATATGAATGTACATATATGTTTTGTCTATATATCACCTCATATGTATAATTAAATAGTTACATATATGTGTGTGTGTTTGTGTTTTTGTGTCTGTGTGTGTGTGTATGTTAGTCAAAGCAATCAGTATCAATCCACTTTTCATTTCGTGTGTCATAAGTTGAGCGCGTATAGCCATCAAATTGTTTTGTAACGCTATATTCGTTTCCTTGCTCGTACCAGAATCCGCAAAGAAAGGCAAGGACAAAAATCATATATATGCTGTTAGATGGGGCCAAAATGTTTCTCTTGCGCCACTTTCGACAACGTTTCAAGACTCTTTACTGTTTGTTTGGCACGGCGAAAACAGTGTGGGCTTCGTCAACGGCGAAGAAATCGGTAAGAGTGTGAATATTGTCTTGTTTGGAAATTTGTATTTATTGGGTAAATAGGCAGCTCCTACTGATTTTATGTGATAGAAATTTACTGTTGTTTTACAACTTAGTCTGTGGGTTTTCCCGCGAACTGCGCTGATACGCTTTATTCCTTTCGGGTCTAGACGATGAACATCTGGATGAATTCTGCGACAATAAGACGCATTTCCTTGGCGACAGAAGTCCAGTGCTGATCAAACTGACGGATCTGAATGTCTCGGCTACCACGTACACCTTCGTCAGCCAGGTATCTTAGTACTGTCATGCACATACGGGTGTCAATCTAGTGCGCAGGTGACAATAACATGTGTTCATTTATCACTTGGTCACCACGGTTACATTCCAGATATGTATGCGTTCAGGATTCGACTTAAGTGAATATCAAGTTCAATGCAACACCGTATGCCTGGGCCAGGTGCATTGCACATCGGTACGGATCAGTTTGGCATATGCATTGTAAATAGGATCAGTTTGGCGTGTACATTGTAAATAGCGCCACACGATTACTCGCCTCAGGAACCCGGTCGCTGCCCACACGAGCGCATCAAAGTATTTATCCAACCGGTGGAGACGGTACATGGGAGTTTGCTGTATGGCATGATTGTGTTCCTGATGCTGGCGTCTCAGATCATTGCCTACATGATTAGTAGCTATGGCATCACAGTATTCAGGTATAATTTATTTTTTGCGCCAATACGACACAATCTGATACATGGTTTTACAAATGTGACACTGTTAATTTCTTTGCTTAGGTATTTGTGCGGAGATACGCTTGCTGCTGAAAATCTCGCTTATGTACGTTCGCAATATGCTAAACTAAGTGTTTTGATCAAGGATTCCACTGATATGCTCAGACACACCGGTTGACTGTTCGCTGCTTATAATCGTGTGGTTTTAGATGCACATAGCTTGGTTTATGCGTGAATTATATGCCTCGATGAGCCCATTGTAGCTAAAAGGTCTGTTGGCTTTATTGCTATAGTTTTTTGTGGTTTTACAGCACGTTTAAGTGTGTCGCCGCTGCCTTGTACTTTGGCGCAACAAAATGCCGCCTATTTCGCCGATATTCTCCCAATAAGTAGTCACAGATGCATGTCATTCTATGTGGGATTTCGGTTACGACACGGGCATCGCTCCCTAATATACCTGTCTGTCTTCGTCCCGTGAACTACCCAGTGCATCCGGTGTGACCATGATGATTGGGGCGGTGACTAGCTTCATCGTGGCCGAGTCGGCCGACAAGCCCATAGTGGACTTCTCACCGGATGCTTTCTTCTACATTTTGCTGCCGTGCATTGTGTTCGAGAGCGGGTATACCTTCCACAAGCGCCACTTCTTTGACAATCTGGGTAGCATTTTGTCCTTCGCACTGCTTGGAGCGTTTATATCGTCTATGGTGACAGGCTTGCTGATGTTCTACGCCACAATGTTTGTGGGGACGGAACCTTGGACGTTATTGCAGGTGTGTATGTGTGGGCCTCAGTCGGCGATGCTCACGATGTCAAGTATTTTTTCTACATATGCAAACTCTTGCGGCTCATCTGCGGCAACCTGTGTGCTCCTATACAAAATCCCTTAAGCAAACACCAACACCCCAGCAAAATACAGCCGCTAAAGTATACCTCTTCGCTTCTCACTCTTCAGAGCCTTGTGTTCGGGACTCTCATCTCGTCTACTGATCCCGTGGCCACCCTGGCCATCTTCTCCACGCTGCCTGTGCGTCCGTCCTTGTATGGGCTGGTGTTTGGTGAGAGTGTCATGAACGATGCCGTGTCGCTGGTGCTGTATTCAGTGCTCACATCGTTTGATGAGGAGACGTTCACCTTTGCCGTTGCGCCTACTGTGGCGTGGCACTTTACGTTGATCTTCATCGCCTCCACACTTATTGGGGGTATGTATGTGTGCATATCTGTGCGCTTGTTCATGTGTGTGCATATTCTTTTGTCGCTGTTTATGTATTTGTGTACACAACCTTCGATGAGGAGCCTTTCACCAAACTCTAAAATGCTGATCTTCATCGCCTCTACACTTGTTGAGTGTATGTGTTTGTGGTTGTGTGTGTGTTTATCTGAGTGTGTGCGTATTTCGATTTTCCTTTGTCGCTGGTGCCACGGTGCTCACAGCCTTCTATGAGGATACCTTCACCTTTGCTGAAGGGTAGCATTTTGCGCTGACTGTTACCCCCTCGACACTTATTAGAGGTTTGTATGTGACGTTTTCATTCTGGGTTTACCAGATGTGTGTGTGCGTGATCTTTGAAACTAAGAATGCTCCTGAGTACTCGCACAGCAAGTTCACTTGACGCACCAGTTTGACCTTAAAACAAATGTCTGATATCCCTCAAATCTGCCTTTCACAGTTTTATCGGCGATGGGAGTGTCTATGACACTCAAGATGATACCAGCCACCACCGCCACGGCGCAGATTATCGTAATGCTATTGGTCGCTTATCTGGGGTATATCATCTGCCAAGGCCTGGACTTCTCGGGCATTGTGGCCATATTTTTCTATGGGTAGGTTTAGTGTGGGTCGGCTACGCGTTTGTGTGTTGATTGTCAATTTCTACTTTGTCAAGGTGCGTAGAGTGATAGGTGAGCGGGATACTGCTCAATGTTGAAAGACGGGTCGAGTGTACAGGTGTGATTATCTGGGCTTGAGTCTGGTTTTGTGTACGTGGTCAACTTGATGGTTGGGCGAATTTGGGGATAAGTCGTTGAATCTGCGTAGGAGGGTATAGAGGTGTCTATATAGGAGTATACTTTGTCCCAAGTACACGTGGATGGTTTTTTACGTGAGCATCCTTAAGCTATCATTGTAGAGTGCTTTGGCGGATACATAGGGGAAAGTACGGTGTTTTTATGAGCACTACGCGTTCTTATACAAGTTTGTCACTATGGGTGACTCTTCGAGCATGCCATGTGTGATACGATCAATTCACGCAGTTACAACTCAGCAAATCCATGACACAGTAAATAACGCTCATAACCAGCCCCCCCCCCCCCCCCCCCCCCGAGTGCTTGGTAGATATATACTCAGCCAACGCATACTCATCCACTGCAGATGCACGGCACGCCACTACGCGTGGCACAATCTTACAGAGACTGCCCGCAATGGCAGTGTGCTGCTATTCAAAGTCTTGGCTGAGTTCATGGAAGCTTTTGTGTTCCTGTACGTTGGGTTGGCGGTCTTCCCGGTGGGGACTGACAAGTACCAAGCAGGTATTTGTCGTTCTATGGTCTTGACTGCATAATTTGTGCGATGTCCGCGTGCACTTCAGCCAATGATTGTGTTATCGTCCGTATGTTCACTCTCCCTGGATGAATATGTACGCGTGCAAGCTAGGTGTGCAGTTGTCCAGTCTGTTATTTATTCGCCCCAGAAAGCACGGATGCGTGATTTGCCTAGTGATAGATCGTGATCAGTCTATGGCGTTGGTGTCCACTGCACAAAAGCTGCACGTTTGTGATCGTCTTCTGTCTTGTAGCTATCAACTCCTAAACATTGGGATCCCGTAGACATCATTACCCCATGGTCACTGAACTTCTCTCAGGATCCGGTAGAATCCGTTAGTTGCGACTTGGGTGTGCTTTTCGGCAGCCTGATCTATCGCTCCAGTACAATTAGCCGGATATCATCTTTTATTTCTCTATTTGAGTTGATAATTTGTCTAACTGACGCGGCTCGGCAGTCTTCTACAACCTGACTCGGCCAGACCCAAAACGTTACTATCGGATGAGGTTCCAGTGACCTTCGGTGCGTGCGCGAGTGTTGTATCCATGTCCTGCCCTCACTATGCCCCTCTCTACTTGTTTCTGCAGGTGTGATTGCGGTAGCCATCCTGGCGTGTATGATAGGGAGGGCCTTCAACATCTTCCCAGTCGCGGCGATGTGCAACTTGGTGCGCAGTGAGCCGATTACTAAGGAGATGCAGGTACTTATGTGCCATGCGGGCATTAGAGGCGCCGTGTCTTATGGTTTGGCAGTCAACTACGACTACACAGGAAAGCTGGGAATCAGATCGACCGTACAGGTACGTTTTACCGAGTGCACTATGGAGGGCTAAACTATCATATGATTCTTCAGTAGACTGTTATGTGATTCTTCAGTGGTCGTTGTGACCATGCACGTATATGTACACTTTCGGCTCTACTTGTGGGTCGGTATGTTTTTACGTGTGTGTGTGTGTGTGTACATTCTCAGGTCTGCTCGAGGGTAGGTGTGCTTGAAAATGTGTGTGTGTTGGTAAGTAGTTGTGTGCGGATCTGTACGTACAAATGTTAATCTATTCATATGTGCGCCTGTGTCCCTGGAAGCATGTTCTGCCGCAACAGGACTACAAAATCCGTGGCACCCGAAGCGCTCAGAGTGCACCCGTAGCATCTATAGATAGTATATGTATACCAACTATGTTGTGCAGCTTTTAATTTTTAACAATGGATAATCTTTACGAGAGGGTCCGACTTGGGTGTCCAATTATGATCACTTCATTTCACCTGATGTAGAACGAACGCACGACTATGTTTGACTCAATTCGTAATCTAGAAGAGTTATCTTATGTAATAATCTACATGTCCGCATAAAAGTGGTAGGTATCGCGATATTCCGAACATGATTTTTTTTGTATATTCAGAAGTGTGTACGTGTCGGATATTGCCTCAGGTATATAAATTCACACATTGTAATTGTATGTGTATCTTTCAGGCGTGTTTGACTCAAATACATTTACGTATATACACACTCAAATAAGGATATATGTACAAACATCTCAGCGGTAAATGTGTATATAGCTGTGTAATAGATACATGCTTATACCCGCATGCTTATATTCTTATATATATATATATATATATATATATGTATGTATGTATGTAGAGTACAAACTTGATTATAATCAACTTCAATTGAACTTTGATCCATTTTTTTATCGTATATTCACATATACACTTCATGTGCATTCGCACATGAATAGCCAAATTGCATTCAGGAGTCACTCTCATACTAACCCTACTTCAAATATCTTTATTGTGTTCATTGTTCATACTTTTGCAACACCTTCCTGACGTTCAATACCGCTCCTTCTGCAGGTGGTTGTGATGTTCACTGTTTTTGTATTGGGTGGTTCGACCGGTGCTCTGCTTAAGCGATTAAGTCTGTTAGATACAGCCCCAAGCGCCACGAGGTAAGACGGTGTGAGAACTTTTCTTGTTTACAAGTTATCGTGATCATACTTATACCATCGAGTCACAACTTCTATGTTTATTGTTGTGTGGTACATGTGTGTGAATGTGCGTGTTCATATATACACAGACGTAGATAGATCATAAAGTGACCACGATGAATGCAAAGCTGAGTTATCCGATTGAATATACCACGCAATACCGTCTTTGATACGCCTGTTGTGCCATCGGGTGATGAGGGCAACTCTTATTTTACAGCATCACATAAATATATTCAAACGGTACATTGGTCGTACAGGCTGCCTTAACCTATTACAACTCACAAAACCCCCATAAAAGCTACTGTTGCGTATTTTAGTTATCAGGTGGTTTTAATGTTAATTTATGGACTCCGGCAGGATAATGTACCATCTCTCACACGCTCCAGTATCATACGGTACGACGATGTTTCTGTCACGTCATGCACACACCTGAAGGTATGCATGTGAACATCAAGCCAGAACATCACTCGGCTAAACTCAACCTCACACCATCCCATACATTCTACGGCACAATACTCTCCCATAACTCGATATGTAGCTTTGGGCTCATATGATGACACAAGCGCCTCGTGCGCACTCACTAGGTCAGGACATAACTACGCCAAACTCAGCTTTATACTACCACCGCCTACCTTCTCTAGTAGTGCAGTACTCTCCCTTCCACCAAAATGTAGCGGAAGGCTCAAATAAGGATAATGACGGCTCGTACATACGCCTGGACCTGTAACTTGAACAACACGCTTGAACACAACTGAGATTACCTCAACATCGTACCGCCACCTTTGTCTTTTTCTATATTCTGCAGCAGTACACAGTACTCGCCCGTACACCAAAATGCAACTGAGGGCTCAGATGATGATTCTGACGAACCGTATAGAGAGCGCGGGAGGTCACTAGTGCGGCGGAGTGGGAATTCGCTTCACGACACCGTTGGTGTGTGAGTGTTGGTGTGGTTGTGGGTGTGTTTGGTATGCGTTGTGTGGGTGTGGGTGTGGATGTCAGTTTGTTTCTGCGTGTTGTGTGTACGTTTGTCAAGTTTGCTACTTTTTGTCGGCGTGCTTGATAAAGCGTGCGGTCATACTCGCAAATAAGAGTTAGAGATCATTGGGTATGTTTGCTATTTGTTCCAATGATTCGCCTTGACTACAGTGATTGTGTTCCCGCAAACGCTTTGCCCGGGTATACTATGGAAGCACATAGGGTAGAGTGGATTTGTGAGCTCAAAGATTTAACAATTGCATACTTGCATGACTGATTGGGATGTCTGCTGTGGGACCCAGAGAAGGGAGCTTCTCTGACTATTGGCGGAGTAGTGATTTCTATGTACAGGTGGCCGCATTTGGCCCAAATCCCCAACTGTGCCCTTGGCTTTTATCAGACTAAAGTTGCATGCTTATAGAGTCTATGGCTCGTTGCATGCCCCTCATGCACGGTAAATCTATATACTTTCTCATCTACGTGGTAGAAGTTCTCATCAGCAGAATAGTCATGCGAGGTTGTAGATCCATATATATATATGTGTCTGTGTCTGTGTCTGTGTCTGTGTCTGTATCTATACCTGTATCTTCCTATATATATGTGTGTGTCTGTGTCTGTGTATGTGGACACACTGACACTCATCAGATTTTTTATGAGATACACTCGATGAAGCTGAGTCGACTGGTTGGCGTATATCTGATATCGATGCTTGTTGCATAATATCGTAGAATACTTAGTGATCTCAGTGCAGTTTTTCGAGCTACTTAAACCAATTTTAAAACTCAGAAGCTTTTAATATGATCCAAACAGATGGGCGCGAGGAGCTTAGTATAGAAGAGGGTCACAGAAGATCAGCCTCAGAATCAACTCCCGGTGCACATCACCAAACCAATGCTGTTCTAAAATGGATACGAAACATCGATCAAGCGTATGTTTAACGCAAGAGTGTATATGTACACCTACGGAATGTATTGACAGTTTGTAAGAATCAGAAAATGATTGCGTGTGTATGGATGGGTGTTTTAAATATAAATACATGTATATATGACTTAAGTATGAATTCCCGATACCGCGATTTCATATTTTTATACCGTTCCTATTTCCATCTGAATATCTTTGTTCAGGTACCACTGACTAAGAATCTGCCGTTCTCTTCCATAAACTGTGCCAAGCTGATTGCACATATTTGCCCATGAGTTGAATATGAGTGTTCGTATGGACGTATCTATATCGATAAGATTGTCCATGAGTTAAATATAATAAATGTTCGTATAGGCATATATATATATATATATATATGCAGTGGCCTCCAGAAGTATTTATCTGATTGTTTCTATCTTTAACAGATATCTGCTTCCTCTACTAACCCGGCCGAAGCAACGGACTATGTCTAATGGTCGGAATGAGGTGTGTTGCGTGTCTTTCAGCCGAAATCGTTTGGCTCATTCTTTGCCATATACATGTGATTTCGAATTAATTCTGAATTTAGGGCACGAAGAATGGACTTTTAACTTTTGAGCTCTCCCCGCGCCTCAATGCCAACGTGTATTTGTAAGATGATATTGTATGATTTGCTTTCAATTGGATGTATGGATCCAAACATTTATGCATGTTTTGCTTTTAGTTGTGCTCACGCGGTGATTTTATAAATTGACAGATCAGTTCCGCTGTTTAATAGCGGAAGCCACCTTTTATAACGCATATAACGTTTATTCTTCAATGCAACTCCATTTTACTACAACTCTATGACCCACTACTCACCGGTGCTAACTAGACTTTACTCTTGCGTTGCAGAATGATTGACTGGCTATTGCGGGTAAACACTAAATACTCAGTGGCCTTCACTATCCACACGTCCACTAGTTCAACTATAAACTCCCGCGAGTGTTCAATCTGCTACGTTTCAAATTGGAACGATAGTAGCGACTTCACTTCAGGTCCTGCCCTGAGTTTTCAGCATTGCCTTAGAGCATGATGCAGCGTAGATAGTTGGTGAAAAAATAGCTTCTGCTGGGGGACCAGCAAAATTAAGAGGGTCTGACTGCAAGAATGTATATTAGGATATATACTGAATGTCAGGATTTTCCAATAAGGCCGCTAATTACATATTTGCGCGATGTGGCCAGTTCTCTACTTGTGGTTTGTAGCTCAATAGAGGCAAACACAATCTCGGCTGATGAACTGAAATGCGCTCAGCGCACGGACCATAAGAAACAGTCGCCCCGTTACCGTGGTGAGGAGCTCTAGTGAGGATACGATCTCACCAATCCTGTTTCAGCTCAGCGATCCAGTTTATATGTCAATTGATAGATACAGTTGGAATCAACTGAAGGGTACAGTTCTCTGTAAGAATACTAGCTGACACTTGAAATGACAAAATTCACGAATGATGTAAGAGAAAAAATGCAAACTTCTTCACAATCATGTTTGGCTATAGTGGAAGTAGAGGATCACTCAATTTGGACCGTAAACTGCGAAACGCCTGCCAAAGATCTGAAGATCCGAAGATCGTATGTGTCCCTCTTGGGGTATACATTTACTAATACCCAGGGTGTGCACAGTGTAATGCTCTGTAAGGTATAACTTCACAATTAAATGAGTTATCGAATCAAAAAATTATACTCACTCAATATTTGTCGGGCTGCGGGCCAACAGCTGTCCTGACTTCAGATCTACAATAAAAATACAGCTCTTTCAGAGAGTGGTTTGTATGCGCAGGTTGGTTGAACTCTACGTGTCTCTTCAGTCTCTACACTTTCGTACCACCTACCTGGATTGTAGCTACGATGGTGAAGGACCACGGAGCAGACGACGATGAAGAGTTAGGAGCCGGAGAGAGTGCTGAAAACGTTCTCAGAAAGGATTAGATGTATGCAAGACATACATTTAAATAGTATTTGAATTGCGTTTGCATATATAGTGTATTTCTGGGATGTTATGCTGTAAATAGGTTCTCATAGTACATCGCGAAGCCATCAAGCGAAGTTGAATAAATAATAGTAAATAATTTTAATAGAGGCACATTGACTCACTTTTGTGTTCGCCCATAGAGGCAAATGATTCCAGGCTAATGATTGCGTGTCAAGAAAAAGATTATGATGGTAACCCCGCAGAGTGCCCCAATATTGATTAATATCTCCGTCATCAATACGAATTACTTCTGTGAGGTAGAGAAGTTATTCAGATGCTCTATTCGATATGTCGATTGTGGTGTATGGTTTCGATGCCTATGGCCGCGTGTACACCGCGGGAAACCAACTTTTCTGCCGTGGACAATGAGGCTGGAGTGCGCTACACCTCAAGCTGCTACTGCTGGCGACAATGCTACTGCAGATGCCACCTCTGCAGCCCAGGAGAAAATTGATATGCTATTTATCGGTAGGGATATTGCTGCTCTGCTCATGCTGTGCTGCTGTTGCTGCTGGTTCATTGTAGCTCGGGCTGTGAATATGCGCAGACGCTCAGCAGCAAAGAATATTGAGCAACGAAGCATGAACGCACTGCAGATGTGATGGGCTTCACGGACGGCGCTTCACCATGAGCTTCGGCTCTAGAACTAAAATCCTAAAACACACTACACACTCTGGGTGGGCATACGACCTTCGGACCTTCGGATCTTTGGCAGAAGTTTTGCTGATTCCGGCCGGAATTAAGTAATCATCTACTTCCTCTATAACCAAACACGATTGTGGAGAAGTTTGCTTTTTGTTTTCGCATATCATTCGTGAGGTTTGTCATTCCAAGTGTAAGCTATTATTGTTACAGAAAGAATTATAATTTTCCGTTTGATTCGAACTGTATCTATCAATTGTCGGATGAAATAGACTGAGCTGAAGCATGATTGATGAGACTGTATCGTCATTAAGGCTCCTCATTGACTATAACGGAGCGGTTATTATTCTTTATCAGTGCGCTAAGCGCAATTCGGTTCAACCGAGATTGAGTTTGCCTCGACTGAGCTACAAACCGCAAGTAGAGCACTGGTGACACACGCAAATTTGTTATTAGCGGGCCTCTTGAAACTTTTCATCGGTGTGTCTAGGCGTAGGCAAAAAGCTACGTACATGTGCATCGAGCCTGCGAGTTGATTTCTCACCGACTAACTACGCCGCAGCATGCTCTAAGGCAATACGAAAACCTGATGGAAGGATCTGAAGTGTAGTCCATACCATAGCCATCAATATAAATCATGATTTGGCACATGATATCTACTGAAAGACTTTTATTGATGGATTTTATAATAGATTGCTAGCAAACTCCCGGTATACAATTCTAGGTTGCTTTTACATACGACTTGGACATCGAGAAGTTCGCCACTTCGATAACTACCGCAGCAATGAGTAGCACCTGCAAGGAAGAAAGCACGCAAAGATGAGCCAAGCCATGCGGGTATGTGAGAACCATACCGATGTCTTCACAAAGCATGTGTGATTCGCTGCACGTGCGCGAGATCTTGTGTACGTGTAGTGCCTAACATAGGTACTTTGATTGCAATAAAGTGACCAACTCGCAGTCTGCAAGTACAAAGATTTGTAGTTTGCGATTAGATGCAAAAATGCTAAGTATGAGAATCTTGCATTCCAAAATACAATGTGAGATCGACCGTGATCGGCATATGTGCGAAATATAGTTTGCTTCGTATACTCGTAGCTGTGTCAAAAGGTGGATCACCGAATGGAGCATCGGCTGCGACAAATGGTGAGAGAGAGAAATATACTGATGCAAGACATGGCCAGCCCCAAACATCCCACCCCTGTGCGCAAGTATATCTATAACAGCCACACACACTCATACGCTCCCGGGCAAACAGGTACACATACAAGACTGCATTCACCTGTACTGATATGTACACTAGAACATACCTTGCGGATATCTAGCTCCATAGAGTGCATCACATACACGCCGATGAAGTAAGTGGGCACGGCTGCACCGGCGTTGCACAGATTCTTTACAAGCGCGTCGAACCGTTTGACGGCCAAATTGGTTACCCACAAACGGGTCACGTAGAGCCCTACAACAACCTGCAAGGTGAATATAAAAGTGAACAACAAACACCTACCACAATTCTTCCTGATCTGGATTATTACAATGATCAGAAAGGATAGGACTTAAAGTTGTCGTATATCCGGTAGCTTGTCTCAAAGTGGCAGCTTGTTTTTTTTTTCAAAGTGGCAGACATACCCAAGTCGCCCAAGTCCACGATCCATCAGGGCCGCCGAAAACCCCGTACCTGTTGAGAAAACGATTAACAGATGAATACACACTCCACCGTCAAACACCAGTCTTGAATTGAATATGTGTAGCATACGAATATAATAGGGATTGTCAGATAAACATTTGCCCGGACACTGGTCTCCTTAAGGCAGACAACCCACTCTGACTCCCATATTTGCACAACTTTTAGACCGACATAGACAACATGTATATGTGTACGTTCATACAGAGAGTAATAAACTGCGATGACATACGTTCATACAGAGAGTAATAAACTGCGATGATATACAATTATACGAAGAGTAATAAACTGCGATGTCATACGTTCATACAGAGGATAATAAATTGCGATGATATACATTCATACAGAGAGCAATAAACTGCGATGATATACGTTCAGACAGGGAGCAATAAAATGCGATGACATACGTACATACAGAGGATAATAAAGTTCGATGATATACTGTCATACAGAGAGTAATGAACTGCGATGACATATATTCATACAGAGAGTAACAAACTGCGATGACATATGTTCATACAGAGAGTAACAAACTGCGATGACATATGTTCATACAGAGGATAATAAATTGCGATGATATATATTCATACGGAGAGTAATAAACTGCGATGACATACGTTCATACAGAGAGTAATAAACTGTGATGACATACGTTTGTAGCGGAGTGTCACGCATGTAGGACACCAATGGAAGGATACACCAGCCCGCTGGACAGGACACGGCGGTGATGTTCGTAATTTGGACTGGCGTGGGAAGTATGGGTATGTGAGGAGTGAGCCATGTGTAGTCAAACGCATCCGGGCGATAAGTGGCCGTATAGAGACATGTATGAGATTATGGGTGACAAGAGGGTATGGATGGCAAGGTATAGAGGAATACTTTGATGAATACAGAGGAGAAAGGTGTGTAGTTTGTATAAGCTCTCTGAAGAGAAGAGATGAGCCCCACATGTACACATACACTGCACAAACATAGATATTTGCGTAGTTCTAATGAGATTCAGACGCCAGAAGACCTAGCTCTCGTTTATCTACACTCAAGCCAAACAATAATCACTCTGCGCCCATCATTTTGGCAGTAGATGGCGATATCAATAGCGTCTCATATAAATAGTAGGAGAGTTCTCACCCTTGCACTTTGTTGAAACTTCGCTAGAAAAGTGCGCACATTGTTTGCAAAGCACCACTTATGTTATAAACTAACATGCGCTCATGGCCGAGTACAAAAGTGCGCACTGCAACAGCTCAACACCCGATGCATGTTCTCTCTAATGCGATCACCGGTGCTTACCAAAGAAGGGAAGATGTCCATAGCCCTTGAAGTACTTCTCGCCATACACGCCGCACAGCACGGACAGGGTAACCTGTTATCACGTTGTGATCAAGTAAAGGTGAGGATACGTCATGTCAGCATCAACTGTGTATGATTGGTAGGTCTAAGATACGATTGCGCGCAAATGCGCTTCCCCACCCACCATGCGCACATAGGTGGGAAGTGTCGCAGGCTTGCTCTCGCTTGCATCCGACAGTGACGGTGGATTCAAGCTCTACATGGAAACGTGTCTTCGAGCGTGTCTCTCTATGTGAGCGAGCGCGTTAATACAAACACCTTGATAATGGTTGCGAAGAAACCCATCCACCACTGAGATTGGTCGCCCGATCCGCCGGACTTGGGGTCAATGAGATTATAAGCGATTAAAATCACACTAAGACTAGTGAGGATTCCCCACTGAATGGAGCTTTGCTCACGGCCCAGCATCACCTTCATGGCGAACGCTGTCATGACAAGCCGTGCCTGCGATGAGGAAGGTAGTATGTGCGGTGTGGCAACAAATGGTCAGAAGCGCCGGTATTGATGCGATAGAGTGGTATATCTCAAGCATGCTGAATAGCACTCACGTGACCTCAATGATCGAAATGAAGGTGTACAAATGGTAAGGACTGGTCAGCCAACAAAAATTAGTTAGACAAACAACTCTAGCACAGACTGAGACGGCTTTTGCTGAAATCTGATGACAGCATACCTGAGATAACACCACATAGGTGGTGGGGTCCAGTCCAGTGTTGGCGAGTACCTGCGATGAGTGTAAAGAGTCGTATTGAATGAGCAATAACAAATGTGACTATGCCAAACATAGCTCAGTGTTATGGGGCACTTAACAGGAAAATACACCAATGTGTGTCTAAGTGTAGGGCCAAGATTGAAACGAGCTTCAAATATGTGACACTAAATGGGCTATACCTCAAAGACATCAGCCAGACACCATCCAATGGCAGCCGGCGCAAAAGCCATCAGGTTGGCGGGGTTGTAAATCTGAAGAATGAAGAGAGTATGATGAGTGGTTGGGAGAGGGATTGGCTGCAAAGCATAAGTATCTGAAGATATTATTAAACAAATAAACAAACAAATGAAACTTGGACACAGCTGCGAGGATGATAAACAGGCACATGATCACAAACACATTCACAAGAAACATCAAACACAATTCGTCGGATTGGCTGTATTATGGTTGCAAAAAATCTACAAGTTTAGAACAACTGTCTTTCTATTTTGTATATCAAGCACGAAAGGTACATATAACCATCAATGCTCAACTTGCAACTTCCGTTCAGATTTCTTCTCCAATATACACAACACCACAGAACTTACCATTTTGATATACTTCATAACCTCGCCCTCTTGTAGTCCAAAAATTAAAGCTATCGACAACCCCATCAACCATGACATAGTATTTGTAATCGCTGTGGGAGATGCATCTAGATAGGGCTTACCCTTCACGGGTGTAGTTATAACATTTGAGTCGTACAGAGTCTGAAACCTTGACACCAGAACTTGCTTCTCGGCCGTACCAGGACCCTGTGGGTGTGATTTGATATGTGATTAGTCAGAGAGGACGACTCTGGGCCGTTTATTAGCTGTGTGCCTTCGGGCGATGAGACATTACCATGAACGAATGTACGAGTAATCCAGAACCATGAATATGCGAATGGCTTTCCACTCAGTAGAAAAAGAGTAGACCGGCATGTTGCTGTCACTGGATTGTCGCCGTTCTGCAGATATATAGACATGAGCGGACTTATAACCGCATACACATTCAAATTTCGTGCGCAACCAACCCACTACCTGGATGATAGCAGCTGTAGGCGATTCTCCGCATAACTCTGTTGTTTTGTGTGTGTTGCTTATCAGAAATAACCCGCACGCGCGTGTACAGATAAGTTGTTGGTAAATGTGTGCAGCTACGCAAGGTACAGTTATTTATTTGTATCTGACTTTGTATCTACTCACAGATGTACTCATGATCGACTGCAAACACTGCGATTGACAACATATCATATATGCTTGCAACTTTAAATACAAAAATACGGCCAAACATGCAGTCGGAAACAAGTTGCGAGGGGAACAACAGGCGTGGGTGTAAGTACCAACCGAGCTAAGGAAGAATCTACCCAGTACATTACTACCAACCCTTTTCATTTGCCATTGTATTCGGCCTTCTATAATGAACTCGATCTAATCCAACCGCACACTTAATTCAACTCTATACCTCTAATGGCTCATCTCTCACTAATTATAGGACCGCACGACCACATAACCTACCGTGTATGTAAAGGATATATCGCTGCCTTCCTTGTACTCAAACGGTATATCGTGCACGTGGAGCTTGACCGGGAATTTATCGTCACCGGCCGATACCGTGAGTTTGTGAGGATTTCCTGATTTGCCTGTCGTGAATAAGCGGGCGTGTAGTTGTACGAAGGTTAGTGGCCATAGATTTTATGTGTCTGGGCTCGTAGTGGTAATTTGTGTTCTAAAAGATATGTCTGCCAAGAAACGTTCGTATTCAGAAGCACGATAGAAACACGTATGCTACTTTTTGCCACCAGAGGCATACGCAGGAGTTCCTTGAACCCATTAATATCTGCCCTGGGCATAGACCACCATGGCATAGCACTACACAACTTCGGAAACCCATGCTAAAATGTATATATACACTATATCTCATAGCATCTAGCAGAGCTCAACCTTGAAACTGCCTCAATGATGATAGTAGTGGAAGTTGACATTCCCAGAAGAAATGCATGTAAGAACGTACGGGAGCGTCGAAATACGAAAGTGCAAAAATAATTTCAGCTGCATGCTGAACGCTTGACAACAAAGAACCAGGACACAAAGGAAGCAAAACTATCACGACGAGAAGAATCACCAAACGAGCGATTCCCAAACAATTTTGCAACCGGCCAAATATTTTTAGTTTTAGACTATTCCCATTTTATAACGAGAGTGGCTTCAAGCACGCGATCACACCTCACAATTGCAATATAAAAAAGATTCCAGATTGTACCCAAACTCTGAGAGAAGTGCAAAAAGCCGACCTGTAGCAAATTCTTACCATTAATCTCCAATTTGGCTGTGGGATCCCCCGAATTAAGATAGAAGACATAGTCACCCACAGTTGGAAGCACAAGGTCTCCTGCGGAATGCGCGTGTAGTGAAAGGGTATCTTGTATGAGTTCTAAATTTTTGTAGATCAAAATGAAAATGGGCGGCAGATGACAAATTATAATACTGGATATGCAAATGCACGAATCCATATAGATAGATATGTACATCAAACACGCTAGTTTGCAAAGAAATACGCATATATCCAAGTGGACAGTAGAATGAGCTAAGAAAGCAGCATATTCATTCTTATGTGTTTCATTCACGTACGTGAGTGTAGGTGAAGTGACGATTGTCTACATGCGTCACCACCTGGCGTGTTGTGAGCACTTAAAAAAGGTGATGTAGTGCACTTTGCTTACTGGTATATCCCTATACCGTGTAAATAGAAATGCTGTATCATTGCAGATACATGTAGGAGCAAACTAGATGCTCTAGAGGGTGATGTGTAAGTCGCCTCTTGCGACTATCCACTGAGTCTCACTACAGTTCCCGCATCGAATCAACACCCAAACAATACAGGTATAAACACTCCTTGCCCGAGTAGCATCGCGGCAGTATAGACCCGGCGACACTAGGCCTCAATTCATAAATATAGCGTAGAAATCCGAGCGTGTACGTGAGATAAGGCCATCCTGTCCAAACACAATACAGTTACATGTGGTCATGCTTGTCCATCCCGGTCATTGAAACCGCTGCGAAAATATCACTGCGTGTACCTCACTCAAACCAATCAGCTATCAACAACCTAATTGAGACCACAAAGATACCATACGACCGCATATCGATTGCTAGTCACGTAAGCCTACATTCTCAATTATGGCAAAAGTACAAGCAACCCACTGGTGTCTAGTTGCTCATTACAGCCATCTCATACCTGACCACTTTGCATCAAAATACTTGTTGGACAAATCATGCGCAATCTGCGACGACGGCCAATTCGCCAGAGCGAGGTTGATCTACAGATTACCCAGTCAACATGCAATAGCGAGTACAGGTTTTGAGTTGTTTTATCCACATACAGTTAAGTAGAACAGAACAGATCGAAATATCTATAACCAACTGTGGAATTACTATTGGCAAGTAAAGGTTTCGAGTTGCTTTATCCACATACAGTTAAATAGAGCAGAACAGATCGAAATACCTATGACCAACTGTGAAATTACTAATGACAAGTAAAGGTTTCGAGTTGCTTTATCCACACACAGTTAAATAGAGCACAACAGATCGAAATACCTATGACCAACTGTGAAAATACTGCAGACGTAGCAATACTGACCATCACAATCCCTATGTTCGTGAGTGTACGTCTCATCACAATCTCTATGTTCGTGAGTGTACCGTCTGCATGAAATTGCACATCCGTTCTTGTTCCGTTCTTGTATAAGCAATTCAAACACCAACACGGTGTATGCCTGTACTATATTTATATACATCAGCATAGGTATATATGGAACGCATACTGTCTCGATACTTCACACCACAAGTCAGTACCTCAGGATTGCATATAGATAGAGCATACCTCAGCGTCGCGGCGGATAAGATGCTGGCTCTCGGAAGCCTGTGCAGCATAATCGCCTGCTAGTCCATTATACACTTGCTGCAAAGAGGAATATCAGAAGAAGGATAAGTGACCTTCTCGTGGTATACAACCTTCAGTGGATTTGACGTGAAGTTAAGATTTCTAAATATACGAAATCAGGGTACGACCAGACCACCCTCATCAAAAGATAAATGCGTACTGAAATACAGGGGTCGCACAATCGTATTAATATGAAATCTAAGCGCTAAGATTAAAAAATGAAGAACGCGTTCAATACAAATACGCATGCAACTTTTGAAGATATTAACAGTGAATTGTCATTGACACGATCGAAAGCGATATACAATCGTACAATCGTATCCTCACTGCTTTATCATCGACCTTTTTGAAAGCCGACTAAAATATAGCGTACGAATATTGACAAAGAATCATTCAAACAATTCATTGGTACTCGCACATTAACGAAAGATATCCCCAGGCAGAATAGAATGCTACCTTGGAATAATTGACGAACAGAGGGGTGAATGTGTAGATACCGATCACAATCAGCAGCAGCCCCGCCTGTGTCGCAAAGCCAAAGAAAGTTCTGTGCGCGAGAGTCCAGAGAGTGAAAAAGTTCGTACTGTGAGGAAGGGTGGCAAACTCAGTCTTATGCGCACTGTGTTACACATGAGTACAAATGGATATGGAAACTCGGCGTTGCGTGGCTGTATGTCAATTGTATTCATTGACATGTTCAGCACAACCCCTCTGCTCCTACGAAGCGCGCGTCATTCACGGGGATAATCTTTGCGTAATCCCTTCGTAGATGCCGTTTTCAACCACTCGTATATTCATTAGGCCAATAATACGAGGTCAAAACTGCTCACAACGTCTCTTTTGAATATCAAATCCTGATTAGCACTTTGACTTGTTAAAGTATTTGAAGCCGCCGTGTAACTGGTTCATTAAAGGTGTAGGATTGACACCTAGACTGGCGCTTACCAACGAAATCATATACTTTTTTTGCCGTACGCGCTCTCTATGGTATTCGTTTTTTTTTGTATTAACTACAAAGTCATCCTTGTCGATTTACAGCATTGCCTTACTCTGTGGGAAAAACACGCCATATCTACGTGCGCACAGGTACGCACGTAGCTCATGAAGACCTTCATTCACACCCCTCACAAGCCATATATCGACTCACACATACCCTGTAAACCACTTCCATGCACTAAGTTGTTCCCTTTTCATTTCATCCTCGCAGTCGTCGCTAAATATGGACGCCTTACGTGTGCTGCCTCCTTCGGCCTCGTCGCGTTCTTTATTGGTGACAGCTCTTATATTTGATACATCATCAGTGCCTCCGTCCACCACCGGATCCTTATGGATATACAGTATTAACGCATTGACAAATGTGTTAGAATTGTTTATTCATTTAAGTCCTTTTATTGCACTAGAGTACTATACACTTTAAAACCGTTATTAGCTCTCGGCAACTGTATTGAGGTAAAGCGGCCGCTTCTTATCACACTATGTATCCGTTCAGTCTTCCAAAAGGTTTGATAACGATATCATATAGATGGCAGACTGCACTTCTAGTGATATGGCTTAGAACGGAGCAAGACCTGGTTCAATTTCAATACGCGCCACAAAACATCCGTCGATCACAACTTTCATACACAAGGATGAACTATTCACCAAACAATCGGAAAGTCTCGCCGTACTTTGTATACTGTAAAGTTCTATATATATATATATATATGTGTGTGTGTGTGTGTGTGTGTGTGTGTGTGTGTGTGTGTGTGTGTGTGTGTGTGTGTGTGTGTGTGTGTGTGTGTGTGTGTGTGTGTGTGTGTGTGTGTGTGTGTGTGTGTGTGTGTGTGTGTGTGTGTGTGTGTGTGTGTGTGTGTGTGTGTGTGTG